GATAACCTGTCACAAAGAACACTAATAATAACAAAATCAAACAGCTAAATACTAATGTACATTGTATACCTACATGTACTTCATTGAACTGACTATATAAATGGTCCCTTTATCTTTTAGTATTACTGATTACTGAACTGTTTTCATTATTTTTTCTTCTACTGGGAATGGCAGTTCAAACTCTCCTAGTGCAAACTTAACAGGATTTTCTGCGGACAATCTTCACCTTATTTATTTCACTGATCAGGCAAATATTCTATCACAAAAAGCTTTCTGATTCTGTATCAGAATAAGTATAAGAACAACATAAAAAGAAAACAGCAAAACCTCACTTGAGAAAAGAATCTGTTCAAAGTTTCTTAAGGTCTTGGAATTGGTCAAAATTTTAAAGCAGCTATGTTTAAAGTCCACTGAGAAAAAAAAATAAGAAAAGTTCAATTAAAAGGAGTCTCATTCTAATTCTTAAAACAAATTTAAAACTTTGTTTCTGGAAAAACACCAACATTACATTCATTCTTTTATTTTTAGACTTTTTGGTTTAAAATTATTCTAATACAAAGGTTTTTCCCCTTCCCCCACAATTCTCATTTTAAGTGTTTGCTGCAGAATAGTCAATCACAAATATATTTTTCAGCTTATCCTACACTGCTATTCTAATTCACCTGTTAAGATCACCCCCTAATTCCATGACCTTAAGAATACCTGTTTTAACCGTTTAGAACATACTTTTATTTTTTTGTGATTGATTTATAAGCTGCAGGTGTTTATGTGATAAACTGTTTTAAATCTGTTTGGTATGCAGAACAAGTAAATTAAAGAACTGAATAATTTGATAAAATGTCCCAAAGATATTAATAAGATAGGTTAAAAAAAATAAAAACGAAATGGAATTAAAAGTGTACTTTTACTCCTGACAACTGCAGCCTTTTACATTTTCTTGGAATTTTTACATGAATGCTTGAAGTTCAGAAAGAGAAATGCCAGGCATAAAAGCAATCATTATAGGAACGGGTTCATGTGAATACGATTATGGAAAAAAAATCCTACAAAGACAACCAAAAACACACGTGGCTCTACTTCAGTTCTTGATGTGATACATATTTGTCAGGCTCATCTGATTAAATAATGAAGTCCCTGTTTGAAAAGCAAAACTAGTTTTTTATTAAAAGGCTGTCTATAATATAATTCTTTTACATTTAAAATATTTTTGGTTTACATTGAGGTCAAATTTTAAAAATTATGTATGGCAAAGACAGAAAACACCTATATGTGCAAGCATATTTCCATTTATATAACCTCACTTTAAAAGACTGACTCTTAACTATCAATGGCAGATACCAGAAATACTCCTTCGCATCACCACTGCTAGGCATCTCCCTATCATTTCATTTTAGTAACTGCTTCAGATATGAGTGCTGCCTGGAACACACCTTTATCTCTAGTTCTCACTTTACCTTTAGACAAACTGGCAGAGTCTCTTAAGTGGTGACACAGGGCAGGCCGTAAAGTGGGGAGTGAAAAATGGTAAACGAAAAGAGTGCATTAAGCCTACCTGCTACTCTTTACAACCCTGTCCACCCTTCCCCAACTCAAGCCTGTTCATCATCATCAACTAGCATCAGTTGGGCGAATGGATGGAGAACAGTGGAAAAAAATCTTTTTTTATCACAGCAAAAAAGAACAACAAAAGTTATTTTCATTCTTTTTCCTGTTTTATTTTCAATTCCACTAACAGAGATAAGGGAAAAGAAGGCTCTGTTCTCCAACCTCCCGGTCATTATCTAGTCCTCACTCCTGTCCTTGATATTCAATGACCGTTTTGTCTCCTTATTCCACTCTAACTTATTTCCTTTCCTGCCCTCTCTCCCCAGAAAACCCTCCCCTCATATAGCCCCAACTCAGCTAATCATACCTAGCCTATGGATCATCCATTCCCATCAATTTATATCTTTTCCCCTAATGCAAATTCTAGAACCACTTCCTGCTTCCCATTTTCCCTCCTATTCTAACATTTGGAGTCACTAACACTAGGTTTGGAGTTGGGGATGGGGAACCTGTATTATTCCCAGAAAATATGTATAGTATTAACAATGAACTACCAAAGCATCAAGAAAGTTATTTTAATCTTTTTAGGACTCAGCTCACTCATCTGTAAAATGAAGAAACTATTAGATCACCACTCTAAAATCTGGCTGACAATTTCTAATTCCTAATAATAGGGATCTTAAACTATAGATCTGAGGTAGAATACAGGAATTTTCTAAGAGGCACCCAGTTGAATCTGCTGATCATCCATGTTTGGGAATCATTGCTAAATGCTAAGAGGTTCCTTCTAGTCTAAAACTCCAAGATCCTAAGCTGGAATTTTCACTGCATTTGCTGGTAGAGAAACTGTGATAAAAGGAGTACAGTTTCCATAGTTATTGGTGCTATAGTTCAGGTATGTTACTGATTCAATAGGCCTCTGCAGACTGATCTAGCACTTAAGCACGCTTCAGATTATGATAACAGCTGACTTGCAAATGAACTTGTAAAATATGTTTACAGATTAGGGACTATTACCACAATACTAAGTCCTCAAAGTAAAACACTAAAAATTATTTCCGTAGTATTATTATGTGCGCAGTGTTTTTCACAGATGGCTTTTTTACCACTAATATTTAGCCTATATGTCAGAAATAAAGGCAGAAGGAACATGCTCATTAGGATCACCTATTCTGCTAATTCACTGATGGGGCTTTGTATATCATTCGAGCAAAGCCTAGAGAAGTCTAGATCACTAGTGAAATTCAGGGTATTAAAACGCCTAAAGAATAGTCTCATTCAAATGTTTAAACTGCCAGGACATTAACTCCCCAGAAGCATACTAGATCATTCACTTACGAACTCCATGTATCTATTCTAGATCTGGTAACTTCCAATTCTCATTACAAACAAGGGTTCCTGTGGTTAATATTCAGGCTTAAAACATGTTTAAACGTGTGGGAACTAAGCACATATAAACAGCACTTGAAGAGATGACACATTAGTGTGTTAATTTGAGTGGAACTTATTCATTTATGAATAATGAAATTATTAAAAGGTAAAAATAGAAATGGAATTCTATGCTAGTCATTTCTCTCTTTAAAAAGATGCACTTAAATTTGTACAAAATAGCAGGGCAAATTGCAGGAAATTGTGTCCATTTATTTCCTAATTTCTCCAAATAACATGAAATCTACAGTGAATGCCATTATGTAAGAGCATTCTTTGAATATCAAGAATGATGCAGTTGTTGCTATGGTAACTACTCATTTTATTGACTAAATTGTGGGTTTGGGTAGCATTCTTTCAAAAAAACATATTTCAACCTCTTAAGTAGGTCTGATAAGATTCTTTCTATTGTTATCTGTTAAACAATAACTACAAGCCGCATTTGGGGATGATTATTTAAGCAGCCTCTATTAAAAGCTAAGCTTGATTTGCTAAGGAAAGAAACCTTTAAAGTTTGAAAAACGAAACATATCAACTACATTCAAAAGAACAAAGGATACTTAGTTTTAACTTTCTAGAGTAGTTGAAACGTGTGTAAAAATCAACAGTAACATGATCTCACCCGTCTGTGTTCCTTCACTGCCATAATTTTCCTTCTAATCCTAAATTATTAACTAAGTATAAGACTAACACCAGAAGACTGCTGACTTTTGAGTTTGCAATTAAGCTAAAATGAGAACCAGTGGAAAGCTTTCTTCATTTCGGTACTTAGGAGAAGTCTCTGTCCTGAGCCTATGAAAACACAGAATTTTCACTGTCAAAATCTTATAAAATAGCTGTGTACAAAAGCCTATATTTAAAGATATCAAGGATAACTGTAGACTCTAACTATAAACACTCTTCAGGTACAGGCAAAAGCCACTAAGGCTTCTTCCCCTATGAGCTTCCATAGAGGAGGTTCTCACCGGAACCCCATCCATGGAAGCCGAAGGTGGGCTTCATCCGCACGTGTCTTCAGGGGGCTTCCAATCTAAACGGTATTTTCAGAACCTGTCCAGATCTCTTCCTCACCCGTCTAAATAAACAGTAAGACCAAGTATTTAAGAAACGGGACTGGGGGCCACGGGTGTAGCCCGTCCCCCTTTTAATAATGTTAAGTCCAGTCAGCTCAAAGGCCTGCTGACTTCGCAGCCCTGGAAGCCAACGCGAGGAAGGCTCTGCATGGTTGTAGGAATGAAGTACTAGGAAGGGAGTCTGATAAGGAAGCAGATGGACAGCTGGCAGGTCGAGCATAAAGGAGGGACAACTCAGGTTTCTTTCCATCTTTTACAAAGGGATTTTACCTGTCTTGTTTTACCTTGGCGTCTCTTGGAAAAAGCGACCCCCACGTCCTCCGTGAGCGTGTATGTGTTTGTGTGTATCGTGACAACAACCTCAGCACCCCGGCTGAGGACAGGGGCTTGGAGGGGGTGGGGACTCAATTCCTTTACAGGCCTAGAACTCTCCCGAAGGGCCCTCGAAGAAAAGGGGGCGGGGAGGAGCGCGTCTGATGCGGACTAGGGGGCTCAGACCAGGCCCGTGAGAGCAGCAGCGGCTTGGGGGACGTGCAGATCCCTTAGGTTTTAATGGTGGCCTCTTTGGAGGAGGGAAGAGGTGACAAGGGGTTGGGGTTGATAAGGCCTCCCCTTCCCCCCTCGCTCAGCGCGCTGTTTACCTTCTCGGTACTTCTTGCGGAGCCGCCGGTGGACGCTTTTCACCACACCGGAGAGCTTCTCCTGTTCCAGTTTCCGCTCCTGCTCCCGGGGCGGCGGAGTGTTCGGGGGCCCGGCCCTCTGCCCACGAGCAGTACTTCGCCCTCCGGCCCCTGGCTCCATATCGCAGCCGCCGCCGCCGCCCCTCAAGCCCCCGCAGACGCTCCCCTGATAGAGGAGGTGGGGTAGGAGGAGGGAGCAGCGGAGGCAGCAGCCGGAGGAGGCAGAGGAGCCGGAGCGACAGCGACAGCCTAGGAGGTGGACGCTCACCCAAAAGTGCAAGCTGATTGGTGGATTTTGAGGGCTGGGCGGAAACGGAAAAGACTAAGGGCCAATGGGCAGAAAGCGCCGGCGGCGAACCCGGTTGTTTGGGAAGGCGAGCAGCTGGAGGAGGCGGAGCTTGCGGGGGTAGGGAGGCTGAGGCAGTGGGAGCGCTAGGCCTGGGTGCTCATCTCTCCCCCCACCCTCCCCGGATTCTGTGCGCAGGCGCTGTGGCCCGGCCTCGGGAGAGGAGCTGTGAGCAACGCGCGTGCGCGTCTCAGTTTTCTTAGTTTGGGCTTTTTTACAGCCCGGCTTTCTGATGTCTTCCATTATTTTCACCCCCTACGCTTTATAATCTGTTGCGATGCGGCCGAGGTACTCTGCTTGAACCTCCGCTGCACCTTGTCACATATAGGTTCCCTTTAGTTACGTGAGCTTTGAGATGACGTTACACTTCAGGGAACTCAAGCACACAAGCTTTCTAAGGCTCAAGGAGAGAGGTCTGGCTACCAAATGCTAATTTAATTCTCAGGTCGACAATGGTTAATGCCTGCAGTACTGCTGCTAGGCAAAGGACATAGAAAATGCGAAATGGAGAGGGCCAAGAAAAGCAACAGGAGATGCAGGAGGACAACAAGTAACGATGGAAAACTCACAGCAGATGCCCTCAAGAACTTTTGTAGTGACCACGGTGTTAATAAGCAGCCTGCCCTGACCTTATTCGCCTCAGCACTCTGAGCTTTTATGGTCGGCTCAGGTAACCTCCTGCCTTTTAATTTGGACAATTAGCCTATGCGGAGTGTATCTAAGTGGGTTTGGCAACCTGTTCACCCTCCGCCACTTCTTTTCCTTCTTTTGAGGAACGTGATTGTTGACTTCTGTCCCATTAAGGTGGAACACTGCTCTCCGGAGAGAGGTAGACTGCATTGGCTCCTGAAGTGGCACCGAGACTGCTGGAGTGTCAGAGATTCAATAGACTGAGAGCCCCTAATGAATTGTGTAGGATTGTGGACCACTTCCCCATTGCAGGTGTTGGTTACGTGACAGTCTACGGAAATGATTGCAATGGGAACATTTTGATGATTTTCTAACGAATAAAGCTTGCGTTATGTAACTTTTATATGCTATCTTCTTTATATTGAATACGATGAAGAGCAAAGAATTATACACACTGTCTAGGACGCAGGAGAAGCGCGAGGTGAAGGGAGATTGATGGAATTTAAAGGCGGAAGATGTGTCCCTTCAGCACAGTGGAGAGACAGGTCAAACAGAGATAGGGACATGTAAACTTCAAAAGAACTCATTATAATTATGAAGAGAAGTTACACGGAAGTGCCTAATAAATTGGGAATGTGGTGGTCTTGTTTGGGGGAATTTCATTTGGGAAGAAAGGGGAGCTTGAATGACATATCTCTTTTGGCTCTTTCCATATTTTAATTTATATGGAAGGCAAATAATGGTGCAAATATTCGAAAGATACAATGATAGTAGAAAGAGCATTAAATTTCACTTGTGCAGAACTAGTTTTTTTTTTTTCTTAAAAATAAGAACTTTTCAGCATACTACTAGCAAATGAAATTTTAAGTCCTCTTAAATGAAGATGTTCACTGAAGGAAATTTGGAAAGTACAGAAAAGAGTAAAGAAAATAAGTCATCTGGACTGAGAGATAACAACTGTTAACATTTTTTCTTTGTATATACTGATTTCAAACGGGATATTTCTTGATGCCTATGTGGCAATCTATTGTATGAACAGCCTACTATTTCATTAACCAATTCCCAGTTATTGTATATTTGTTTTCTCCAGCTTTTCTGTATTACAAATAATGTCATGACAAACACATTTGCACACAAGTGTTTGTCCATTTTTTTAATTATACATTCCATCAGTCTAAACTCCTAAAAGTTCAATTTCTGAAGCAAAGGGTCAAACATGTTAGGGTTTTGATGTATATTGTGAAATTGCCTTTTCTGAATGATAGTAGCAATCTATGCCATGTCCAGTAGTACCTGTGGTTGTTTATTTCACTGCACGCTTACCAAAGGTAGGTATTACAATTTACAAAGTCATTAATGAGATTTTCAAAACATGTCTATTTTTAATAAATATGGGGAATTTCCTGCTGTTTCATAACTAGCTATTCTTATAGGTATAATATTTAACTTAAAATACTCATGTAAAAAAAATAAAAGGAACTTATTTAAGACTATCTAGTTGTCATTGTTCAAGCAGATTGAAGAGTCCTACCTTTTAAAATTACTTTTTGACTTCTCACTTTTTGAGAAGCAACTGAAGAAATAACAACTGGACAGCCAGATTTTATTTTATTTTATTTTATTTTGAGATGGACTTTTGCTCTTGTTGCCCAGGCTGGAGTGCAGTGGCGCATTCTTGGCTCACTGCAACCTCCACCTCCTGGGTTCAAACGATTCTCCTGCCTCAACCTCCCGAGTGGCTGGGATTACAGGCATGTACCACCATGCCTGGCTAATTCTGTATTTATGGTAGAGACGGGATTTCTCCATGTTGGTCAGGCTGGTCTCAAACTCCCGACCTCAGGTGATCCACCCACTTCAGCCTCCCAAAGTGCTGGGATTACAGGTGTGAGCCACCACACTAGGCGCAGATTTTATTTTAAAGATGCATAAATTCAAATGAGGGATAGGCCAACATGTCCTGAGAAACATTTTAAGGCATTTTTTTTCAACTGACTATCTACCACAGTAGAAAAGGGAGTTTATAACTACTTTCCTCCTGTGTAGTTAGTAATATTACAAAAAGCTTTCTATCTGTTAAGGTTGCTGAGGAATTGTAATGGAATTCTCCATTTAAGGGAAACAACTGTCCTAATTGCTGATAAAATGTATTCACTGAAGGGAGCAGGCTTGGTGCAATATTCAATGAGCATATCCTATGCCCAGGAAAATGTCAGCAACTTTCCCCCCCGTGTGGTGACAGGTTTTTATTTACTGTAAATATCTTGTTTTTAAAAAATTCTCTCATTATTTTAAATGCCTGTTAGGGAAAGAGGATATTGGAATAAAACACTCTTCACTGAGCAGGACAAACCAGTCTGGGAAGAAGAGGCTTTTCTAATGACTGCTCTAAACCCCTGATAAGTAAATTTCTCATCCTCATTCTTTGCCTTACCTAACCGGTCTGCACCTAATTCCTTTCACATTTGGTAAGCTTCCTGTGTTCAAGAAGCACTCAGTACAGAAAAAATGTTTTTGGTGAGAAAAATACCTTGTCATCTTTGTTTACAGTTATATTTTTATAAGTAACACATATTCCTACAAAGGATGTAAAGGGTCAATATATTGCGATAATAAAATATGTTCTATTCTCAGTGGGAGTTTGAAAAAATTAATGGGTGATGAAAAGTAAACTTAAAAATCCATATCAAAATCTGGGATGAGGCACTGAGTTAACCAGTAGATTCTGGGTGTACTTTGTAAAAGTGTTGAACATTTCATTCTGACCCTCTTGAGGATTCCTGTAGAAGAGAGAAGGCTACATAATAGAAATTGGGGTTCTTGGCCAAATGTGGTGACTCACACCTGTAATCCAGGCACTTTGGGAGGCTGAGTTGGGAGGATCACTTGAGCCCAGAAGTTCAAGACCAGCCTGGGCAACAGAGCGAAACCCTATCTCTACATAAAATACAAAAATTAGCAGGGTGTTGTGGTGCACAACTGTAGTTCCAGCTACTTGGGAGCCTGAGGTGGGAGTATCGCTTGAGACCAGAAGGTTGAGGCTGCAGTGAGCCATGATTGTGCCGCTGTACTCGAGCCTGGGTGACAGAGTGAGACCCTGTCTCAAACAAAAAAAAGAAAAAAAAGAAAAACAAAAAAACTGAGCTTCTTTGAATGATCTAAAGCATTATTTATTTTTATTCTTCAGTGACTTGGTATTATCTACTTTGCTTTGGCCCTCTTTATTATAAAAATCATAAAAACAGATTTTAATGTTGCAAAATAAAAGTATTAATATTAAACTTCTGTTTCTAAAACATAAAAATGTTAAAACAACAGTGTATGTCAGTTGTGCAAAAAGACTTGATCAGCTTTATTATTGAAGATACGGCTGTATTCCAAGCTGGACAAATCCGTGGTTCATGACTATTTAGAAATAGAATGTTTAGGAATTCAGTTAAAATGAGGACTGGAAAAGTAAAATCTATGTTATTTTGAAAATATTTACCACTATTTGCAAAATTCTTACCCATGAATATAAAAATATCCATGAAGTTTAAATGATTTGTTATATTCAGAATTTTAAAAAGTAGATGTATCATTAATTGAGCACATTATTGAGAAACTGTTAAGCCTTTTGTTTTTCATATTTTATTTCAAATCATAGAAACTTTCTTTGGAAAATTCCATATTTAATGTTTTGATAGAAACAAACAGTGGAGAACTAACAAGAAAAATATTTTTAGTGATATATTTCTATTCAATATGGCAGATTACAACTTAAAAATCCTATTTATTAATAGGGTTATTTTCTTTAAAAATGTATGTCTTTCACTATTATGTCAATCAATGACTTCCCTGCAATTCATAATTTAACTGCGAACATTAAAAGTATTCAAAATAACACGCAGATTTGTTATCTTTCAAAAGTTAATAGACTGGTGTTAACCAAGTGACAATCATTAATTAAGGCTTACCTCAAAATACAATTGTAAAACATACTATTTTGCAATATACTAATTAATGAAATATATTTGATAATCATAACAGGGCTAATGTAGGAATAGATTTACATAAAAAAGAAATACGCTTCTTCTAAGTGATAGATAATGTCCTTACAGTGAAATGTAGGACTAAAATTTTCTGTGTCCTAATTCCAGCTTTGCATTAACCAACAGAGCAAGGTTCTCTGAGCCTTTTTTATCCTCTGTCAAATGTAAAATGAAGAGGTTGGATTTGACTAGTGTTTTTCAATTTTTTTTTTTTTTTTTACCGTGACTCTAGTGAGGAATACATTTTGCCTGGGGGCACAGGACACTTAGACATATACTAAATATACTAAATATACTTAGACATATACTAAATATACACATATGAATATATACCCACATAGATAACGAGGACAAAAGTTTCACCAAGCAATACTTATCTTCACTAATGCAGTGCATGGTGGTATTTTCCATTCTATTTTTCGTTTTTTAAAACTATAGGGTGCACTATGTTGATTTTATGGCCCTCTAATGAATCATGGCCTAAAATTTATAAAATACTGGCAATTGGAAAGATCCCTTTCAGTCCCCAAACCAGTAATTCTATGACTCACATTGATTTTGAGAAAGCTTTATGAGATGTACCTTGCTATGTTGAGGCTACTCAGTCCTTTCAAACATCATTTTTACCTTGGGAGATTTCTTACATTCTGAATGCGGGCTCAGAGAAGTGACCTAGACTCTGCTAATCATAGTCTCTGAATGAAGTATCTATTTGGAAGAGAGCAAAATGACGAAGTAGAAGCTACAGGGAATCTTTTGGCCTGTTGAGGGAGAGTGGAGATGTAGTTCTTTTAGGATCACCAAGCCTGAGGGTCTACCTTCCATGTCTAACATTTGCTTTATAAGCCAAATAATAGGGGCAATGGGTCTTTCCCAGAGTAGTTGCTGGGTCAACTTATGTGGGGATCTGGGCTGCGTAGTCTCCAAGTCTGCCTCTCTGGTCCTTGTGGAGATCTGGGATGCCTTTTCTATCTGAACTAGCTGAAGCGAGTTCTATTTTTTTTTTTTTTTTTTTTTTTTTGAGATAGAGTCTCGCTCTGTCGCCCAGGCTGGAATGCAGTGGCGAGTTCTATTTTTTTATTGCACAGGGGTGGCTAGTGCTGAGACATTCTGGAAGAGAATTAGGTAATCAGGAAGCAGTGTTCGCTAGCTTTCTCTGTGACTGGAAGTGATCTGCTATCTGCTAGGTTCCTTGGTTTCCTCAGCTGTCAGATGATGACAACTTACCATTCCTACCTCACAAAGTTGTGTGAATAAAAAGAAATTATAGACTGAAAGTGTTTCAAAAAGTTAAAAAAGTACAAATGTGAATAAATAGTATAGATGTTAATTGTTTCTAAGGGGCCAGAAAAAGTGAAATTTTTCTAAATGC